TCACCACCACCAAAGTACCGAGAAATGTACGTGCCTGTTAGCCTAATGACTGGGGGTGGGAGTGGGTAGAGTTAACACTGGCATTTAGTACCCAGGTAGCAAGGATATCAATGCTTGGGACAGTCTTGCATAATACCATCTAGTTTCAAAAGCCAACAATGGCACCCTTTTGAAAAACTCTACTAATTAACTCAGGAGCCTTGGTGGTGTAGTGGTTACCCCTTGGGTTGTGATCAGCTCCAAGGAAGAAAGACAGGGCGTTCTGCTCCTGTAAAGAGTTGCAGGCTGGGAAACCTTCAGGGGGAGCTCTACCCTGTCCTGTAGGGTCACTGTGGGTCAGCACAGACTCATGAGTACTGGTGAACTCTAGCCATATGCAACCGCCCCACCCCACGCCTGACAAAGGAGTAGGCACCCGCTCATCAATTAGACTGTCCCGCACCCTCCATTGTACATCGCTCTTCTCTGTTTACCGTCACCTGCTGCAAAACATGTTCCAAGCCCATCTACTCTGCTCACTGGGAAGCTGCCTGGTGTGACAAGTGTATCTCACGGGGGCAGTATGGGAAAGGATGCAAAACCCTCAAACCGCAGTGAGAGTCATTTCCCTTGCAAGCCTCTCCATCTTATTATGGAGCCCAGTGGAGTGCTAGGTTGTGTTGGGCTGTTAACCACAAGGTCAGCAGTTCTAACTCACCAGCTGCTCCTCAGGAGAAGAATGAGGCTGTCTGCTCTTGGCAAGTTTTAAAGTCTCAGGGTAGCTATGAGTCAGGGTAGACTTGATGGCAATTGGTTTTAGTATCTTTTTAATACCTAAAATTTACTAATCTACTTTTACCACACACAAAAAAAATGGATGTCAGTTTCAACCAGTAGCATACAATTAAAATTGTGTGATTCTGCCGACATAGTTTTTTTGCCCCAATTATATAGATGTTCCACTTAAAGTAATGAGCTCGATGAACTCACTCTCAAAGAACCCACTGCCATTGAGTGTGTACGTCCGAGGCTGTGACTCTGTGGGAGTAGAAAGCCTTGTTTTTATCCCAAGTGCACGGAGGGTGGCATCTCCCAGAAAGAGACTACAATGAAGCAGCAGACTGCCAGACACAGCTGGAAGGACCTACCTTAGTGTGTGTTCGACCAAGGTGAGAATGACTAGCCTTGGCCCCAAACCAATTTCCAGTGAGTCGATCCCGACTCTGAAAGGTGGAGTAGGACTCTCTCATAGGGTTTCTGAGGCTGTAGATCCTTCCGGAAAGCAAGCCACATCTTTCTCTAGACACTGCTGGTGGATTCAAACCACCAACTTACAGCTGGTGCTCAAGAGCTGACTCACTGCACCACCAAGGTGAGCATGACTAGCTCTGGTCCAATAGTTGTGAGAATAACTGCTACACCGGAATTTAAAAATGGGTTGTCCATTTCCTTCTGGTGCCCCACTGTGGCCTTTCTATGAACTGCATCTGCGGTTAGACTGCTGGAGTTTAATGAGAAGCCCCGGTGGGCTGCTTACTGCAGGGCCAGCAGTTTGAAACCACCAGTCGCTCCCTGGGAGAACAAGGCAGCTTTCTATTCTCATGGAGAGTCCTGGAAACCCACAGGGCAGTTCTACCCTGTCCAATGGGGTCGCTGAGTCAGAATTCACTCAACAGCCAGAAGTTGGGAGAGTTTAATGGGTCTCATGCCATCCAGGAGCAAACAGTACCTGGTCCCCTCTAAGGATGCTTACTCCTGCAGAACGAGGAAAAATAACAGTACTAACCCAACTAACCCTATAGCTAGTAAATTGACTCAGACTCAGTGTGACCTTATCCAAAAACCAAACCCACTGCATCAGTAGTCAATTCTGATTCACAGTAGTGACCCAGCAAGGCAGAGTAGAACAGTTAGTTCATTAAGGGCCCAGTAGGATAGCGTAAAATTGTTTGGTGGGGTTTCTGCATCTTCTTCCTGAGGAACAGCTGGTGGGTTTGAACCACAAGACTTTGCAGTTCGAAGTGCAAAGCTTAACCCACTGAATCATCGGGGCTCCTTTCTAGGTGCGTGGGGTAAGTACCAAACAAAACCAGCCTGGGTGTGCACCAGAAGTTGCCCAGAGGACTGTTATACTGCTTTCCATTCAGTAGGTCTGAGGCGGGGCCCAAGACTGCATTTCTCACAAGTTCTCAGGCGATGCTGACACTGCTGGCTCAGAACCCGCTGTTACAGTTACAGAAGACAGACAGCAGACCACACACATAGGAAGTGTTCAGTGTTAGGAGACAACTGTGCGGGGACAAAAGGAATAGCAGAGCACGTTGAGAGTAGCTGTATGCAGATTAGTGTTCTATTTTCCACTTACATAAAATACCCAGTTTCTTACACAAGAGCCATGGCTGACAGCTCTTACTATTGCTGATCAATATCCTAAGAGCTTTATGCATGTAAACAGGGGCTCTGGTGGTGGTGTCGGAGAAGCTCGAACTGCTAACTTTGAGGTCAGTGGTTCAAATCCACCAACCGCTCTGGGAGAGAAAGAGGAGACTGTAGGCTCCTGTGAAGATCTATAACCTAAGAAACCCTACACGGTCACTATGAGTCTGAATCTACTAAGTGGCAGTTGGTTTTAGGTTTGGGCACTGAGTTAGTTAATTGTGCCAGCCTGGCTGATAATCACATGTGGTGCTGGTTGAAAGGCGGAGGGATAAATGGGTGGTGAAGCCTCGCCTTTCTAGTTCTCGGGTCTCTTGTTTTGTGATGGTTGCATCGGGTGCAGCTGCCTTAGCAGTTCCCTGCTTCAGCTTGCAAGATTGACTTCCTACAAGACAACCCCAAGGAGAAGCCGCATGGATCTATCCCGATGCAGCCCTGGGTGCTGGAGCAGCCGTGTGGAGACCCTTGCCAGTGCTGAGATGCTTACACATTCACGGACTCAGCTTTCCTCCTGCAGTAGGCATCATTGCCTCTGTTTTGTGAGGTGGAGGACTTTGTGGACTGGTGTTGGGTTAATGGGTTAATGTTGGACTTGTGGGCTTGGGCAGCATTGGGTTGGGATGTTTTCGTGATGCACCTTTTCTTTACATAAAACTCTCTCTTATACGTGAGTCGCCGTGGATTTGTTTCTCCAAAGTACCCAGACTAATACAGGCACTCATATCTGACTCTACAATCCATGCTGTTGAATATCAGAAGATGTCGTTAGTGACCCTGTGACACAGTGAGAACTGAATGAAACACTGCGTAGTCATGTTACAGTACAGCACCTCTCAACTCTCCATGTCAAATCAGCTCAATTAACTTCTGCCTCAGAACCACTTTCCCCGACTTAGGATCCTCAACACTCAAGGCTCCTGAGAACAAGACCCCCTGTGCCTCTCTTTTCTCCTCTGCCCAGCACAATGCCTGTCTACTACCAGGCTCACTATTGATCCTGATCCTTCTACATACAGCCCACTTGCCTTAGCGCTGACCTGTGGGTCCTTCCCAGCCTGGCCATGCCTCACTTTCCCTAGGCTCCCCACTCTTTCACACAGGTCCTATACCAGTCAGAGCCAAGAGACGCCCTTTTTCCTGCCTTCTCATTTTCTCCCTAACAGACTCCCATTCAGCCCTTCACCCTCAGCTCAACGTGCTCCTTTTTAATGAAATGTCCCTCTTTTCCCCTCATCCAAGTTCATCTTTTTTTATGGGCCCAGAGAATATTATTTTAGGGCTTGTCACTTTGTTGTAACTGACTTCTCTTTCAGACAAGAACTCTCAGGAGTTATCAGGGTTCAGGACAGTGGCTGACATACTAATTTCCAATGTATTTACTGGAAAATGACTGAGTTAGAACATTAATCATAAGCTAAGTGAAAAGGCCATGCCAACTCACTCACAACGGGGACTAGAGCCCTGGAGTGCTGAGGACGGATCCAGAGTGAGGCCTTGCATGCTCGCTTCCTTCAATTAATGTAATTCAGGAAACAGTTCCTGGGCATTATGGATAAGGCACTGAACAATGAGAGAGACATGTTGGGGACGCATGTCTCCTATATTGACTTCTCCATCCAGCAACCATGTCAAGCACCTTGTGCTTGAACACTGCCGCAGTAGAACGTCATACCCTTCTGATGCCGTCACTTGCCTTCTTTTCAGGCATGGGATGGCTAGGCAGATGGCAGAGGTGAAAGAACTCATTCTGCTGGAATTCAGAAACAACGAATTTTATGTGGCAAAATGGAAGGAATGCCCCTCTACATCACTCAGCCTTACAGAAAAAGGCAATGCCTTGCTCAAGTCAGCACCAGGCTGCAAACATCATCTGTTTTTCCACACTGTACATCTGACCTTGTCACTCACCTGCCCCAGCCCTGTAACTACATCCACTGCATTGAGAAAAAGATGCAAATGAACTGGCACTGTCTTCCACTCTGGTACCACTCTCCCCCCTTCTTAGGCTTTCTTGGATGTGCCATGCCTGTTCAAAGACCTCCCGCAGTTTACTCCTTCCTCCTGACACTCACTTCTCTCAGGCTTTTACATGGCTCCCCCCTCACTTTATACAGGTCTGTCGGAGCCACATTTTCACAAGAGGCCCTTCTCAGTCACCCTATTTAAGTTCAGTGCTGCCCTCACTCTAGTCCTTTATCTAACTGCTTTATTTTCCTGTACAACTCGGGGCACTGCCTGTTAATATTACCAGCATTGTGGGTCACAACCCCTTTGGAGGTCGATCAACCCTTTCACAGGGGTCACCCAATTCATAACAGTAGCAAAACGACAGTGATGATGTATCAACTAAAATAATTTTATGGTTGGGGGGTCACCACCATATGAGGAACTGTATTAAAGGGTCACAGCATTAGGAAGGTTGAGAACCACTGATCTCAGGGAGTATTTAAACCACTGATCTTGGGGAGTACTTGTTAAGCAAATGCACAGATTCCATTCTTTTGGCTGTTAGCTGCCCTACAGTTGAGCCCCTGCTCTCAGGACCCTATGCACAACAGAATGCAACAGGCTGCCCCATCCCCAGGACAGGTTATACAGATCTGACTACTGTGATCCATACCGTTTCTCAGGTTAATTTTTGGAAGTAGATTACCAGGTCCTTCTCCCCCATCTCTATTAGCCTGGAGCGCCACTGAAACCTGCTGAGCATCCCAGCTCTGTGCAAGCCTCCACTAACAGATGCGCCTGCTCCAGCGGGTCTCTGGAAGAGGGTGAGAACTGTACCACTCATGCCTCCTTTACTCTCATTAGAGTTGCTCCATTCAGGGGGCCTTGGGTCCCTCACAAAGCAAACACCCAAGCTCAGATCCTAGGTATAAACAATACATAAAACTCTTAACCTTGTTGCCAACAAGATCTACTAGCTAGTATCTATAAACAAGGAATTCTAGCAAGCCAGGTCTTCCTATGGATTTAACTGGGAAAAAAAAAAAAAGAAGGAATCTAGTTTCTACCGGCAGAGCTTATAGCAACCTGAAGCTTAGGGTCTAAGGAGTCAGAAACTCGTGAGAGGAACACATAAACTGCACAACCCTGGTTATCACAACCACGATTATCCCTCTGTACTCTCCTCCCCACTCGAAAATTACAGACCTCCTTTGAGAAAAAGGTTTCAACAAAATAATTCATATTATTATCAAGGGTTCATGAGGGAGGGGGAAAAATGAGGAGCTGATATTAAGGGCTAAAGTAGAAAGCAAATGTTTTGAGAATGATGAGGGTAACACATGTACAAATGTGCTTGACGCAATGGATGGATGGATGGATTGTGATGAGTTAGTTGTACGAGCCCCCAATAAAATGATTTTTTAAAAAAAGGTTTCAAAATACCTAAGATACACAGAACTACATAAGATGACAGTCCGATTGAAATACTGGGTCGCAGACAAGACTCATCTACAATTGAGAGCGGGAGGCTTCTTTTCACGTGCTTCGGACATGTTGTCAGGGAAGACCCGTCCCTGAAGAAGGACATCATGCTTTTTAAAGGGGGGGAGGCAGCCAAGAGAGAAAGACCCTGGACAAGATGGACTGACACAGTGGCTGCAAATATGGGCTCAGAGTAACAACGGTGAGGATGGCGCAGGGCCGGGCACTGTTTCTCTGTCACACACAGAAAGGGTCGCGTGAGTTGGAGCCGACCCGAGGCCACCTAAAAACATCCTAATTGCCACAATGAAATAAACAAGGACAAGAGAGTATGAGAGGGGCACGAGAAGCTCAACAGGGAGGATGTCAGGGCGCGGCATCCTGAAGCCCATCCCAGGTGCACCCGAAGTGACGGCAGGGATCTCCAGGACAGAAGGATCCAATTAGCACCAGGGGGTGTGTCTGAGTTGAGCAGCCAAGTCAGGAGAGACCCCAGGTCTGGGAGAAGGGTGGGAGCTTTCCCTCCAGGTCCTGCGGGACCTAGTTGACGCCCCTGCCTCACCAGTCCCCGCCGTTCCCAGGAGCCGCTCGGGCACCCCTTGCAGGTCCTCATGGAGGCCACGGAAGATCTCGTGCAGCTTCTCGAAATGCTCCGAGGAGGTGGCAGAAGTGGCCATGGTGCAGGCCGAGCTTAGGCAGCTGCCGCCCAAATTGTGGGCGCGGGGCCCGCCCTATCCCGGGTCAACCACCCAGCCCCGCAGCCATCAACGCGACCGCCGCGGCTGCCCAGGACGAGGCACTTCCGGGGCCCAGGCCGGGGTCCTCCCCCGCCGGAACGCCCACTCCTTTCCCACCGTCCTGGGAGCGCCCGGCGTGAAGGCCTGACT